TAGTAGGATATGTGAAGATTTGCAGAGCTCTTTTTAGTAGACACTGCTTTTAAAATGATCAAAAAACAGCTAGTTGATGGTTCATATGAGAGCAATTCTCGGGGATGCACCGTATAGTGTATAGCGATTATACTTGCCACGTCAGGACGCGTCTCACTAGCATAGAGAGGATGCACCGAGCTGGGTAGAAGCTTATCCTCGGATTCAATGCTCGAATTGGAACGAAGTTCTTGGCGTCCGGAAAGAAAAAATTGATAAGAAAATGCAAGATGTAACGAACTTTGCGATTTAGCGGCAAAATGCGCTGGCATATCTTTTTCTCGTTTATGAACGTAGAAAATCCCATCGTGTTTTCTGCTCTTGAACTCCAAAAAGAGGAAATTCAATTGTGTCTTGATACGTTTCCATCTAAGCTGTACCAAATCAATGTTGAATTCACTGTGGAAGAAGGAAATCAGTACCAACGACTTCATCATTCCAAGAGAGGTTGCGGCATATGAGCACGCTAAACAGTGCGAACACGACGGACATAACAGCGTCAGATATCAAGGGAAATATGTATTATGGTTCCGAAAGTTCTGTCCGATTTTAACTTGCCCTGTTTAACGCAGCTAGTTTCTTGGACTTTTGTACTTTTTGCAGATATATGAATATCATCTGAAAGCATTTTTCTTGCTCTTTCTGATGCTTATTAATGCTTGACGAAACATCTTCTCGGTGATAAAAGTCTAAGCCCTAAAGCCAAGCTGCCAAAATGCACTTATGCTCAAGAAAAAGTATCTTCGAAGAAAATTCCCGCAGTATTCGTTAAATGAAATGCGTAATATTTTATAATGGGTCAGGGTGTAATGGGCCAACGTACGCACACTTTTTTATAGAGCGAACGTCTCCGTTTTTCAAATTTTTTTTAAAGGTAGAAGACAAACCCAGTATATAAAAAGTAACAACGATCTACGTATATCGAACGACGGTGCACTCATTAGTGCATATGATAGAGTAAAGCGAGAGCAAGCGGGGAACATCGACCAATTAGTTTCTTCGTTCGCGGCAGCGAGAAAAAATCAAATATTAGAAAGTCGACCTATTTGCGCACGCGGAGGAGGGCTCAAATAATGATTTTTTTTTGATTTTCTCGTAAAATTTCTGTGCAGCAGAAATGGCTCAAATTTTCTTTAGCCACAAAAGAATCTCTGAAGCATAGGCTACTCAACCGTAGTAGCCAAATATGTCCGCGTAATATGGAAGCTTTGATACACCAAAGTGGATGGTTTTGAAGAACACTTTCAAAATTCTTCAAATTTTCTCTTCTCTCTCGCTTGCTTTCTTTACATGGCATAGGTGCTTGTAATAGATTCAACCTCGCTCAATCCAACAAAATTTAGTTTATGCAAAAGTGTTGATTTTGGAGGGAGTTATAACATTTTTAATCAGAAAATCTGCAAATCGGACAGAACTTTCGGAACAATCTATGATAATATTCAAGATAGGCGATTAGTAAGCTAGAGAAAAGGTTGTGAAAACAAATGTTGTGGTTTCGCTTTCGAGCACCAGGACTGAAAACAGCGGATCACGTGCAAGTACAAAGTTCGAGAGTAGCAAAAATATCGGAACACGGATCAGTCAGATAAAGAGGACAGCGGTTCTGAATTGACAGAGTGGAAAAAATCAATCAAATTAGAGAAAGCTGTTCAGTGAGGAAAAGTTTACAAAAATTCGATTAAATAGTTCTCATAGGCCCGTAGTAAACCCCCATCAGGGCATCTCTCTTGAGGCGGACCGGAGTTGATCGCGCCTCAGCACATTGCCAAGGGAGCGATTGATTTGGAGCAGATCACTTTCCGGACGTTCGCGTTTTCAAGGATGGAACGTTTCTGCCATCTGTGCATTACTAGTCAAATGGATAAGACCAAAGCGTTTCAGGCGGCAGAGCCATGGTTCGAGTGCGGCTAGCGGCGCAATTTTTGCTACTTGGCCTGGCGACCTCTGATAGCGGCCGCTGTCGAAAAAATCGATGATCCCCTAGCAGAGATTTCACCAGGCAAGCAACGAGATAACGCAACGAGATAAAACAAGTACACAATATTTTGGCTTTTATACGAGGAAAAATCACATTTGGCGAAAAATGGCTAGAAAGGCAAATTTACTTTTTTTGTTATCTGGAGCGGTTTTTTGAGAAAAACGAGCAACAGCTGCAAGAAAAATGCAAAAAAACTTTTTTCCGATTTTGTCGCGCAATCAGCTGTTCATCGATCCTCACTCACCTGGGCGCCCGAAATTGCGCAGTTTTGGGATTGTTGCACCGCAAAAGAACGTCAACTGCGGCGTTTCATAAGTTACTCGGGAGCAACTTACGGAGGTTTTCTCCGTGCTCTCCTCTTTAGCACAGTATTTACCTTATGTCGTCGCCCGGCTCATCTCCGATGATTCGGTAGGGAGCTGATCTCCCTGCCGGGCTTCATCTGAAGCTCACCTGTAAAGTGACCTTGCATACTTACACCACGGAAAAGTGGGTAGTCCTCATCTCACCCGACAAAGCCTCATATGAGGGCCTCAGGGGAGGTCATTTCCCATGACCGAGCTACACTACGGGCCATAGTCTCAAGAGCAGGACACACTCAAAAACCAATCGTGGGTCAGGTAGATGGACTTGACAAAGATAGGCAGAAGACTGTTGGACTTGATTTGTAAGAGAAATAAAGCGTTTTATGTGATATTATTAGAAAATTTTGAAATAACAAATTCGAAAAAGCCAAAAACAGAGAGGGTATAGGAATGTTATAGGTAAATTTAGAGGTTTCTCAACTGTAGGAGTTTGCAGTTTGGTTTTGAAAGGCGTAGTAAGCCACAACGGATCGAGAATGTGTCCATATGTTCCAAATACATATACCCAACATTTTGTTTCTGTAACCTCAACTCATATCAGTAAATTCACTCAGTTTTTGTTGTCTTTTCTACGACAAAGACTCCTTCGCAGCAATTTCTGCAGCATGACATCAAAGCAGATCTTTCAAAGTCTCCCAAAAGATCTTGGAGAAGGTGATATTCTCCTTCTCCGAAATAGAAAAGTGACATCGTTTTGAAAGTTTGCAGTGAATGTACTCTACACTAGTGATTCGCAAAGCCACGTCAGTGTTATGGTATGTATCTTACAAAGTCAGTTTTTTATTCAAAAATAAATTCCTACGTGATTTCAATGAACACAACTATTGGTCTCATTTTGATTTCGACGGTTTGATTTTTGACCGATGTACTCAGTGAAAGCGACAATTTCGCTCTCAGATGAACTTTGACGATTTATCAAACGTTGAACGGTAGATCAAAGCGTATAAAAGAGGAAATGCCAAGCAACTTTAGCCTTTGTGCGTATGGAACTTTTTCACTCACTTGATAATTTCGCAGCTTTACTAAAATTTTGAGTTTATATTGCCATACTTAACAGTTGAGTTGACAATCTGGCATCCAATGCTTTTCAGCATTTGAGTTCACAAACTCATTTCGCAAACCAACACACACATATCTGAAACGTTCAAGAAAAATTTAAGAAATTAGATTGAAGTTTTTCTTCTTTTCTTGTAAAAGTAAATTTTCTTCTTTTTCTGTAAAAGTCACTGACTCAATAATCTACCATTCTTTGCGCAAATGCGATAGAGAGAGAACAGCAGTAAAAATAGTTATTTGGGCCTAGCGGAAAATCTTCTTCTGCCCGATGTAAGTTCTATCCGGTATGATTCCGCTTCCGTTTACAAAGTTGCGACATATGTGTGAGTCACAGAGATTTCCAACTGCATACTAAGGCCCCGGGCAGACTTCACGCGATTTGATCGTCGCGACTAAATCGCGACGAGACAACTGTTACTACATTATTCCATCCGATCAACTTGCATTCAGTTGTGATACTTTTCCAACCCGAAATTTTTGAATGTGAAATGAAAATGAATGGAAATCTTGGCGATTAGATCGCGACGATTGAGTCGCGTGAAGTTTGTCCGAAGCCTAAGGGATTAACGCGTACATCTGCATAATTAACTCATTCATTCTGAAGTTTACATAGCCTGAGCGCCTTCACAACTTGTCAGCGAGTAAACTCCTATGAGCATGATTCAAAAGAGTCATACTGTCTGTGAAGAAACATTCCTAGCGCCACACATAGAGTTTCGGGGAAATTCTTCACCAAACATCTAAAACTCTCGAAGTAAATCTACGTATCCTTGCAGCAATACGCACACTGGCCATCCCTCTCTCAAAATTTTTCAGGTCTCGATTTTAAATTGATCTCAATATCCTTAGCTACGAGAACACTCGTAACGCTAGTTTGGATTGGCTCTAAGACATGTTCCCCCTTACTGTTAACGAGCAAAATAAAGTCACTTTCTCAAAAAAGATAAATGCAATAAAGTCGCAAAAACTTTTCTGCTCGCCCAGCCTTGCTGAATATCTAACAAAGATTGACTGCGCTGGCTAGAAAACTACAAAAAATGCGTCACTAACGCCAGTTAGTGGTTAGAGACGGGCAACTATACATTTTTCATGAGCATTTGTTCTCTTTGCCAATCAACTACCGACTATTGGTACTCAACAAATACGTGAAAATTGCACAAATTCAAACACACTTGATTAGATCTTTCGACCTGCGTTTGCTTAGAAATGACGTTCAAACAGCATAAACTACTCAGTCAAAAAGGGTAGGTCATAAAACCTATGATACTGGCTGTTCCCATATCGTAAATGAACTTTTTCGTCAGAAAACAAGAAAGTCTGAATAATCTCCTTATCTCTATTATCTCTTCCATAAGGACATAATCTTTGACAGTATGCTAAATGTTGCTTTCTTTGCTTAAGATAATTAGTAGGGCACGTAAGACGTCAAGAAATTATGGAAGTTTTATAGCGCGACAGAACTTTTGGCCAGCCTAACATTAAGGACATTCAGTTGACTTCGTTTGAGCTCTATGAATTCGTTTGTTGGACAAAGAATACGCTACAAATTAACTTTCTTTAGCATGAAATTCATTCCGGCATTCTTTCTTATTGCGCTTTTGGTGTGTGTCCATGCGGGAGGGTGGGATAGCAGGAGCGCGGCTTCGAAGTCTGGAGGACGAGTTGTAAGTGTCTCTAGTCTTCTTTCTCTGTCGAGTTTGTACTTTTTGTAGTGTGGAAGATTATGTTCGGCGCAATGCAGAAAGAACTGGTTTGTTGGTCTAGTAAGTGATTTGACGGGACAATCATCAGCATTACCCGCACTGAGGAGGGCAGTGCAAAAAGTGGAGGAAATTGAAAGAGGTTACCCAAAGGATGAAGAAGATGATGGAGAAAGAGGAGAATCTGAGGGACAAGGAGAGGCACCTGAGGGGAAGTAAGAGTATCTGTAGTGTGGATGATCAGAACATTCTGTTTTGAAGTCACTCTCCAATAAACTGTTGCCAGCTCCCAACTAAGCGCTACTGCATTAAATTCAAACTTCAATGTCAATATATTTGATCTGGTATCATATGTAATCAGTATGCGTTTCTTTATTTAACACGTTGACGACCTTGTGTATCCGCACGTATGCACGCCCTGACTCCCGTTTAGCATTTTCGTGCATCCGCGCATATGCACGCTAGTATTTTACGTGCAAACAAAAAGTTTCAAGGCAACTTCTATGCAGTAATACTATTAGTAGCTTGATGGTCTTACAGAACACAGGGCATCGCGGCAGCTGTTCAGAAGTTTTGGCCGCAAAGTTGGGTAATCAGTACATTTTTGATGTAGTGTTTACATGCTAATCACGTTTTCTCGAGAAGGTGAAAACTATGTATAGCTGTTTTGAAATCAAACAAAGATGAATCCGGCAAAAAACACCTGGTTTTACAACGCTTTTCTCGAAGAGCGATTCCTCAGATATAATCATTGCATGGATTATTAGAGAGAAAATCGATGCAAAAACCTTGATTTGTGTAAGTCCTGGTAAGGCTCTGTGATATACCTGTATGACTGAACAAAGTTCGCATGTTTTGTTAATAGGTGACAAAAAAACTCCCACATAATGTTTTCGTGCATCCGCGCGTATGCACGGGCCAAATGCGCGAAGGACGTTAGTGAAAGTTTCGCCCAAAATGGCGCTGTCGTCAACGTGTTAAGCTGCATATGCCTTTGATGCAATGATTTCCAGGGAGCGCAAGAAATGTAAATTTTGAATTATTTTAGCTCAAAAACCTAGAAGCGCCTTGGAGTCAGAGGAAACACAAATCCCTATATCAGATATCACGGATGCGGACAGTGCAGGATTTAGTTTAAAAATGGAATTGCATCATCTTTGATTTGATATTTAATTGAAGTTTATGAAGATTAATTTAAGATATGTGTTGTATAAACATCGTCCACGTCCATATGGCCTTTGGAACGTACTGCTTTTACATTTTGGCCTAAACAAGCAAACAAACAAACAGAAGAAAAAGCAAAGAAAATTTGGAATCAGAGGAATTATTGCAAGACATTCGTATATAGCATTGTAATATCTAATTGCAAAAAATCCGACTCATGCCCTGCATTTCTCGCCCCAAATTAATGACGAATTGCGTTTGATTTACAAGATTGAAAGATCTAGCAGACTTGAATCGTCCGTGCCTTTTCTTGACCTAGGATGACAGGCAATAATCACGAACGACCGCATTATTCGAGTGGCATAAACATTTTGACACAATGCTGTTTGGTACTTTTTCTTTACTAGCGGCCCAGTGGCTTCTCGCTGTGAGAAATTTCGTTTTTGAGCCAGCAAAAAAGTATACCCATCCTAATCTTGCAATCGGGCGTGATCAGGTGGTATGAAAATGTCATAGGATTGTAGTAAAACAACACTTTCAACGAAAAATTATCGAATTCCGCGATATTTACGGTTTGGGATCGTTGAATTGGAATTGTACAAATTTGTCGTTTTCAGTTGAAAGAATGCACAATTTAATCAACGGGAATAGTCGCTCGAGGAATTCGCGGTCTGATGAACCTTTAAATCGAAATTCTCAAATGTCGTTCGGTTTTGTTTCTGTTTTTTATTGGCGCACCTTCGGGTATTATATTACATAAATAAATAGATAAATAATGTTTTTATCATCAACCATACCTTAGCCTAACTGCTTTTAACGTTAAGTTTCACACAACGTTTTTGCTTGAAATAACATACATTTTCGCGACAGAACTAAGATTTTCTCCAACTCTAAACATCATTTCTTTTGCGTGTACTACTATCTTAGCCTTTGCGCCTACTACTTCAATGCATTTGCACTCGATCAGCCTAAGCCTGATGGAGTACGGCGAAAGGCGCAAATGTTTTGTTCGTTTTCCAAGGGTAGGTACGAAATGAAATATCTTCCTGTGTTTTGCTCTACAATCCTCCGTTGACACTGAGTACGAATGTACAGCAATTTTTGTGAAGGTGCTTCTGTACACAAAATTCGGAGAGAATTTGTATACTTTGAATAACATTGAAGCTCCCTAAACGCAGTCACTATCACTATTACTCATACTTGAAGTATGCATATGAAGAGCATGTGCAACATCGATTCACGATTGTAAATTCTGATAAGCAATTATTGCAAGTCCGTCCTTGTATGCTCTCAGAATTACTTTGGTACCAATGTACCGGTCCCAGAGGAAGAGAGCTTAGTTGGCCGGGCCGCATGAATGATGACTTGAAGCGATGTTCGATTTGGTGACTGTTAATAAGAAAGCATAAGAAACGAAACCAAAACCAAGAATTTAGCAAACTGAATCAGAGCATAGTCTACAGTTTTGTTCCCTATAACATTAATGATACTTGTAGTATAAATAGGACGAGCTAGGATCGTAAAATACATAACAGCAGTGAAAGTAACTTTCTTATCTATGCGGTCTTGTATATATAAAAGACTCAAACACTGTAACTTTGTTTGTTAGGATGTCTTTGGCTTAGATTCTTTTGTATGTGAGCAGAAGAATCCGAACCTTCTTCTAGAAATAGAGAAACGGCCAAAAGAAAAGATAGGCTACTTTCTCCGACTTTTGCTGGGTCCTTCTAGATCTACTGATTTATTTACTTACATCTGGAAAAATGAGAGCATATCAATTGATTCCTTTAGTTAGGTAGTAAGGCGCGGTAGAGATCATCTACATTTTGCGGTGAGTAGGGGGAAGCCATAAGACGATTCCAAGACACTATGCCGGGCTATTTTGGACTTTCATCCGGGCAGGACCAGCGACGCCACCTAGTAGTTTTTCTAAGTGAGCCCATAGAGTAACATCACTGAGATGGTTATTCCATGTGATATGATGGAATCTACAAATTATAGCTCGTAAAAAGTTAGACCTCACTTAGAGTTGTCGTTATTCAATCTTTACATTCTGTCTATCGGGCAACCTAACAACGCAACAAGAGTACAGTAAGGGTCAAGACGCAAAGGGGAAGGGACCCAAAGAGTATTCGCGGAGGATTGCAGGAATACAGTTGAGTAAAACATTAAATAATTGCAAATTTTTACAACAGACCGCATTGTTGTTATAAGGTTGGGATAAGTCCGTGATGAAGTTGTATAAATGATCGTAAGTAGAATAACATGACTTGGATCTATGATAATCATATACTAGTCTTATTACGTCTTAGTCTTATTCATGAGGTCAAAAAAATGACGAGGATTTCAAACTTCTAAATCTTTTATTAAAAAAGAACAACAACTGATGAAACCGTAACTTCAATACATCAATACCTATATACAAGAACATAGAACAACAAACAGAAGTTCCTAGACTTGGCTTGGCAAGCTTTGCCGCACAACGGAAAACACTAAACGAAATAAACTTCATCGCTGCCAGCTCAATCACTTTGAGTACCTAGTCAATTGCTGCGATGACGCGCATGCCCTCGAAAAGTTCCAAATTGCGCAACTTACGCGCCAAGGATCTCAGTCCGAAATACTAAACAAAGTATAGTGGAACCAAACTGGAACCATGCTAACCTAACCATGCTTCAAGGAATTATCCCCATAATCATGTATTATAAAAGAGCGCAAGCTAATAGCTAACCTCCGCTTTGTCCTCGAGCATTTTTATTAAGAGGTCATCGTACCTCCTCAGCAATAGTTGCCCCTCTTGTAAGTAGAACCAGATGCACTGGAACAATTCGGGGTCGCGGTTAAGGAATAATCCTCCCGTGCGCTATGCATCGATATCAAATGAGATCACTGAATGGAAGAAGCAACCCACCGGAAGATTCATACTCAAAAACAGACTTTTGTCGTCCTTGCCTGGACAGTTTCTTAGAGTTCTCGTCGTGTGAGGTACTTCTCACCGTTCAATACAACTGGATAGAACATAGTGAACACCTGACATGTAAAAATGAAATTCGTATATAGTACATATACGATACAATTTACAACTTAACGCAGTAGCATAAACTTAAGACACAAAGATGCCTCTGACAAAAGACAGATGAAAGCCGTACACAACAATCAGAAGTCATGGAACCACCGTAAAAGTACTATTTCCAACTCAGAATGGCAAAATTTGAAAACGAAACAGTGGCAAGCAGTAACAAGGACTTTCAGTCGTTGTCCCTCTCCAAATGAGCATCGACCCAATTTGGCTGACTTCAAATCGATTCAAAATTGAACCTCACGACTCCTTGACCAGATTTTTTTACTCAAATGGAATATGAACAAGAAATCTGGTCGAGGAGTCGTGAGGTCTTTTCGTTGCGAAAGAATAAACGCGTGAGTAAATCTGCTGATCAATCGTGACAGCGGCCACAGTTAGGCCACCCTCCCTCCATATTCGAACCTTCGAATGGTCCCAAAAAAACTTCGAACAAGTCAAAACTGGCGACGAAGATTCGAATAAGACATTTCATGGGGAAGTCTCGATTTTCAGAAGAAAGAACTAGACGAGTGAGGAGATTTGGTGCCGATAGAATCTAGGCACAGGTCCGTCCCGAAACGTACGCAAACTACAGATACTACTATATATATCCTGAAGACACGCCATGCTCACCTTTACGAAACGCTTTGGATGGCGCTCTGGAGAAGCGTTAATGTCGCGTTACAACTCTTTACAATCTAAACATGAAATTCATGTGAAAAATGACTGGGGAACTCCAATTACAGGATGTCCGTAAAGTATGTATACACTGTTTGATCATTAATATCTCTTTTCCTAAGAAGTCTTTTGCCTTGCTTCAGGTACCATTTTGTAGAGCTGGCTTTAACTCAGATTTGCAGTATAGAACGAATCACTCATTTCTCTTCATTACTGTAGGATTACGGTAGAAACTTGAAACATATGGTGTCAATGTGGAAAAAACTGCCGTTTCAAAATTTTTCAAAAAAAATGTGAAAATTGTGTAATAAGGTTT